TGTATATGCGTGTATTTGTAGTGTATATATATATATATATAGATATATATAGATATATGATATAGATATATATATATATATATATATATATATATATATATATATATATATATATATATATATATATATATATATATATATATATATGTATATGTATATGTGTTTATATATATATATATATATACGCTGCTATGCAGAAGCTGGTAAGAAGATGTTCGGAACTTGCTGGTGTTCTCGGGTGTGACTATTGACTGTACACAGCTATAACGCGTGAGTGCTAGACAGCAGTTCGGGCAACATGAATAACATCCAGTACAGCTGAGTGGACTCATGCAGTACATGTTATTCACATCCGGTACAAACTGAGGAGGCATGAAACCGCGAGCAAGTATGCATTTATCACGTGCCCCATAGCCACGATAGTATCGCAACTGTAGTCTCCGCTATGCACAGACACGTGTGGTGCGTTACGTGCGCTACGAAAAAAAAACAGTTGGTGAAAATCTAGAGATACGCGACATACTTCCTTAGTACTATTGTTTGTTTTTAAGTTGCTGAAGAGCAATATTAGGTAAGGAAGGGGCCAAGTTTCGGGTAGTTTTGATATTAATGCTAGAAATAGGAGACATGTTTAACTTTAGAGAAACGCTAAAATAGAACGAGGTCGAAAGCGGATCGATTCGAGATAAGGGATCATTTAATAAATAAGATAGAAATGAATTTGACTACGTGCACGGCATATCTTTTGATGCACGATAGAATTTATCGTACGTCAACTGTGTAAAATCTCGGACTATGGGGAGTATAGACTGTAGAGTACGTAAAAGGCATTCGCAACAGATGTGCTGCTAGCTGATACATGAGTTCTTGCATTGCACTGACAAGATAACAAAGTCACTTTTGGAACAAACACTAGTTTTCTGACCCTGATTTTTATCTGCGTCGGGAAGGTGGGTCTGGTATTAAAACCTATCAATGAAATAAGTATTTACTAGATTAGATTTTTTTTGTATTAGGCGGACTTATTCCTTTGACTTCATCCGTATATTTGAACAAGCATTGATTGACTTTAAAATCTAAATCGACAACCGTATATTTTGTATTAATTTATTAATTTAGTGAAAATATACTGATTTGAATGTATGTGTGTACTCGCAGCGGCTATCTGCTATTTGAGTTCACAACCAAGTTGCCCGCTGTAAAATATGTTCACTTGAAGGCTTCTGTGAGCTCTATTGATTGTTCTCGATCGCGTCGTATAAGTTTGCGATTTGATCCTGGTACTTTTTAGTCGCGTTCACTCTTTTCAGCTTGAAGGTGGGTGTGAGTAATTCATTATCAATGCTGAAAGCTTCCGGTTCAACAATGAAATCTCTGAGCTTCTCGAATCCTTTGAGCTTGCATTCCTTGTGCATCTCCAGTACCTCTGAGGCCAGCATATCTTTCAATTCCGGCGTTTCAGCGATACTCTTAGCATCGCCAGGGATAATGTTTTCCTTTGCCCAAGCAACAATCATCTCAGCATCGGGTACCACTGCGGCCACGGGATAGGCGTGGAACGAGTCACCAGTAACAAATACTTGCGCAATATGATCACACTTTCCATACATAGCTTTGAGATTCTCAGCGGCTAGATACTCGCCCTGGGATAGTTTGAAAATGGACTTATGACGACCAATTATGGATAACGTGCCACCAGGGTTCCAACGACCTACATCTCCAGTGCGGAACAAACTGTCCTCGTCGATATCCTTTTTTGTTTTCTCGGGATTTTTCAGGTACGAACCAAAACCATTGGTGCCCCTCACACACACCTCGCCACGAGGGCACTCATCAGTTGTCAGGTAATTCATTTCGGGAATACTCACTAGCTTAAGCTCATTGGAAGCCAATAGTGATCCCACATGGCCGAGCTTCATGTCGTTGTAGTGAGTTATAGTAGCACCTGCTGTTGTCTCAGTTAATCCATAGCCAACCATGATAACGGGACACACACAAACTCGTAGAGACTCGTGTATAGCCGTGCCGAGAGGTGCTGAGCCGGTAAGGATCCACTTGACACGTCCATCCAGCGCCATGCTCATTCGATTGAACACTTTCTCATTGAGCATAGGAGTGTCTTCACCACGTTCCAGAGCTGCGAAACGCATGTCGTAGACGTTTTTGTAAGCAGCTTCCTTCTCGGGACCTCCGGCCTTGACACCTCGATTGATCTTATCGTAGATTCGTGAGAGAATACGAGGTACAGCGATAAAGAAAGTGGGCTTTAAGGTCTGGATATCCAATATTAGCTCCGGTAGTTTGCCTTGGTAGAATCCTATGCTACATCCTTGACTGATGCATACCGCTTGCACAACCCTTTTAAATATGTGAGCTAAGGGTAGGAATGCGAAGTGCACATCATGGCTGTTCACATGCAGGCGTTGCTGTAGCGAAACTACACCGGACATCACATTGATATGGGTGATCTGCACACCTTTGGGGTTACCTGTGGTGCCTGTTGTGTCATAAGTACCGCAACATCCCATGCAGTGGGAAGATCGTGTGGGAACACATTCTCCGCGCCCATATCCTTTAGCTCGTACAAGTTGAGTAGCTCAACGCCCGCTTTCGTGAATTTGGCCTTGTCCTCAGACGTGACGGCATCGAAGCAAATGACGTACTTGAGATTTGGTAGACCCTTTTTAATTGCTGTAAGCACGGACTCGAGACGAATCTTCTCGAAAAAGGCTGCGGCCATTTCACTATGCTCCATCACATAGTGTACAGAATCGGGACCGAGTGTGTCGTAGATTGCAACGGAGGGCAGAGTGTATGACAAAAGAGCGTGATCACTCAGCATCCATTCAATTCGATTCTTCGAGTACAGACCGAATGGCTGGTTTTTCTTAATGCCCAGGGTTTTCAACCCCGAGCCGATTAAAGTAGCAGTATCACTAGCCTTCTTGAAGCTCACAAATTCGTATTCGCCAGCACTTGTGCTACCATCTTCATTGTGAACCACTTTTCGCTCACCCAAATATGGACGGTCTGGGTTCTCGGCAACGGTGGTTTGGAAACTCTCGTATGTCGTGCAACGACCGGGTGTGTCAGTCAACTACTGAGCGGGCCGTGTGGCCTCCCCATCTACGTAGTATGGAAACCGATGAGCAGATGATCCCCAGTCGGCACCAGCTGCCACAACGCTTTGCATTATGAACTAGATCTTTGTTACTAAGATTGGGAAGCAAGATAGCTTCTCTTGGAGTGTTGCTTGCATGTTAACCATATTTGCACGATTTGTATTTGTCGTTGTGTGTTGTAAATATATTAAAAATTTAGAAGTGATGTTAAGCTGAATGAGAAACGCCTTTAAATACCGTACGTGTAAGATTCTGATGTGTGCTTGCTAATTTTTGCTAAAGAGTTAGATATAGTCTTATAGTGGGATGTGTCATATGTACCATTGTCCATTTGCATAGTCATATGTTACTTCAATTATCACAAGTTTCCTAAAGCTAGGCCATCGGCATTTACCACAAGCGATTTCTCGGGATCAAAAGTAATCTCCCATCCTATTGGATGCTCGTATTAGAAATTCCTCAGATCTCTTAGAGAGAGTATTAATAATAATTAAAATATTAAATGGTGTATTTAGATTTTAGTATCAGTAACTATTGAATACATATTTAAATATTTACTAATTTTTACTATTTAGTATTTAGTATTTTAGTTATCACCTGGCCAGGCTGGCCTGGTAAACGACAATACGACATGTCTTTTCACTTTTGGCTTTGGCGGCACGTTGCGACGCGGCGACAGTCTTTTACTTGTTTACTTTTGGTTTTATAGGCGACATGTTGCGACATCAAGGTTGCGATATGTCGTTTGGTCAAGTCGGAACCCGGGAACCGGGAACCTGCACCTTTTTGGTCTGAAAAATATATGTGCGACCAATTAGTTATTTTTTATGGAATATCCGCCAATAATAGATGCGTAAGCTTGGACCGATGCAGCGGGTGCACCTGAACACCAAAAAAAGATGGACTGACAATCTGACAGGGACACTCCTGTAAACAACATCTAGACGACATGTTGTCTAACGACATGTCGCGACTCGCGACGGTCTTTTATTTGCAGGTATTTTATTGGACTTTTCATGTTTTCAGCCAGCACTTTGGTCATTGCTGACTTTTCATCATTTCATGGTGCACGCGCTGAGCCGCTGACTGTCTGTCAGTCTGAAACTCTCTGTGTCTCTCTGAGTGTCTGGCAGTGACAGTCTGACTACTATGTATAATACATTGTACAATACATTGTACGCACAGTACCGAGTCAATACTCAGTAGTCAGTACTCACTATCAGGCTTTTTCAGAAACAAATCAATTTCACGAAATTTTTGAAATAGATCGTTTTTTGCCAATCGGATGATATTTAGTAAAATTCTGGAATTCCGGATCCTCTAAAATTAAAAATACAACGGTTGAACTCGGGCGGCTTGTTCAATCATCAGTGTTCAGTGTTGAGTGTTCAGTTGTTCACTGACAGTGTTCACTGTTCACATATTATCAAATCACTAAAATCAGTCATCAGTCATCATAGTGTTCAGGTTTGGAGATTTATTATTATTGAATACATCTGTTCCATGATTTCCGAAAAAAAATAATGGTGAAAGACTGATAGATACATAGAACTACTACTAGTAGTACAGTACATAGTACATCGTGCATATCAGCATGCAACAGAAAACTCTCGAGAGTCTACTTAAGTTCTTGACCATTAGATGTTGCTCTCCGTGGGCGGAGTCTGCGGACTGCAGTCTGCGGACTATTAATACAAAGTAGTAGATAAAAATTAATAGTACCTTTGTATACTCTTTTGATCTTTCATTCTGAAAGTCGGACATCATGTACAAAGTCCAAATACTAGCTTTTGTGACTTAAGAAGCTAAGTGTGCATTGTATAGGCACTCTCTACACATCAATTACAAAGATTGAAAATACTAATAGTCGGATGAAATATGATCGATAACAAATTACAATTGAGCAGGAATATATAAGGATTACATTTTTACAATAATCTTAGCACGAGAAACCACACAGCCACACATACACATAACCCACCCCCCCCACCACACGCACGTATTATATATATATATATATAACTTTTTGGCGGTTAGTGTATGGTTATATATCAAAATTTTAATGTTTTTGATATCCACGGCAAAATGTAGTTTTTGTCGTGGATGGATTCTGCTCGTACGTTCAAACTATCAACGATACATGCTACCGAGCACACTCTGGATCATTCCTATGCTCGAACTAAAGACACCTGGCAAGTATAGGCTCAAGTGAATCTAAAATTCGGAATTCTATACCAAATAAATCTTGTAACACAGTACACACTGAAGTGCCTCTAATTGAAGGTTCAGTAGCCGTTGCATTCCAAGCACTCGGACTATCTGCGCTATCTTGCAAACCACTTTGAGTGTATAAAGCCATAGGGGTGTTTCTCTGCTTACATGCATCTCTAAGCCTTTGCTTCATACTACCGTCTGGCTTGATACTGACCTCTCGTCGCCACAGAGGTATGTCTTACCTTGGTCGAAGCCCTTGCATTTGGGGAAATGTGGGACAATGTGATCGGCGAAGTATTCGTTGACCTTGTTGTGTTGAAAATTGTAGAGACTGACGCGGTTGGTGTGTAAGCAGTTGCTGTAGTCTGTGCGTGAACGACAGACATCGAACTTGGGTTCGTAGATGGCATGTGTCTGCATAAGTCCCTTGTGTAGGCAATAATCACATCTCGTTAGTGACCCACATGGGCCTCCGAGTTGCACGGCAAAGTTTGCTGTGTCCGGTAAGGATACGTAATAGAATTCTGTATCTTTGACACTTCCTGGAACAGCGACATTCTTGGTTTGGCCTTGAAATGGAACGGGCCCCTTTTTAGCGCCACTGATACTATCTATTTTATGTAAGAAAGCGATGCGGTTGATGGCGTCATCCGAATCAAACAGTGATAGCACCAGGACACCGTTTCGGCTTATGTCGAACACCTTCTTTGTTCGGTAGTTTCCAAAATGTACACCCTCCCACTCTGTGACTGTATCTAAGCTTTTAAGCACAGCCTCTCTTGCTGCAGGTACGAAAGACACGATTTCTACCATACGGCTTTGCTTGTAGTTTTGTGTGTGTCGGGTAAATCTACGCCTGATTGTTGCAACAGCTGCAGCACACGTGGCATCGTAAAGCATTAATTCTGAATCAAACTGCCATCGTATCCGCACATTGTCATGCTCATCCCCGGGTGCGTACAGGTCGTCTATGGCCAACCGGCTATGCGTATTAAAAGCTCACACTTACCCGTGTACGCATTGCGAGCACCTTGCGATAGCATACGAGGGCCAGTCCCGCTGAAAACCCTCGTGCCTAGCACATAATAAATTGTACTATCCACTTCTGATTGTCGGATTAGTGCTGCTTCGCTGTTCGAATCCACCTTCTGAATGATGCTCTCTGTACTGATTATGTTATCCGGACTTGTACTCTCTGTGCTATTTATGCACTCTTGACTTCTTGTATCATCTGCAAGACGTGTTTCTGTTTCGGATTCTTCCTGTCGCAAATCTGCAGACACCGAATGACTAACATTTGCTAGTCGATCTTGATTGTTCTGATTGTTTTCTGGAGTTACAAGCATGTCTACGGCACTTCCAAATTCAGTTGATTGTCCCGACTGACCGTTTGAATTATCGGTATACGCCTGACTACAGGGTGCTGTGAAAATATTTGGGTATGTGTGCGGTATCCAGAGAAAGCCCCGGTAAACCCCGCACATAGTGCAAGATTAAGCACAATTACAATCACAGAGAGTGCCGCATACAATTGTTTCAACACCATACCAGCTTCATGCCACGATTTTTGTGAGTGACTGTAATATACATATTTATATATCTTTTATATATATATATATATGTGTATACGCTTCTAAATTTCTACATCTTGTAACTATGTCGCTATGATTGTGCGAGTTTTTTTTTTTGGAAAATCATGTGGAATCGAGAATAGCCTACTTTTTTTTTTAAATATAACAACAAAAACAAAAAATAATAATAAAAACAATACATACAGACAACAATCAAGATCAGGAGTTCAAACTTCAAGGCAGGTCAAAAATATAATAAATATAAAATTATAAGGACATATGGAAAATATTCACGGCCCTCTGGAAAAGTGGAAATTGAAAACAAAACAAACAAAAAGAAAAAGAAAAAAAATTCTGTCGGTGACTCGAAAATTCATAATTGCCATTTGCCCCGAATTGCCGAATTGCCTTCGACCGCAAATCCACAAGACCGCAACACTAAGTATCTCCAGAGGCTAGTGCGGGGCCAGAGGCCAGAGGGCCGTGCGACGTGCGTGTTCATTTTTCAAAAGAAGGGGGTCACAACTTCACTCATCGAGTCATCAGTCATCATTCACACTGTTCAGTTGTCACAACTTCACAGTTCACTGAGTCCCTATGTTACCTCAACCGGTTTCCGTTAAAACCTTTATGAAACGAATAAATATACGTTTACGGTCAACTTTTATTCCATGTGAGTCCTTTTTATCCTCATAGGTTTTTTTAGGCTAAATATTTTAAAAGTGAGTACTATTTACACTATATAATCCAGTCTTATGAAAGATCTTAGGTAGGTTCTTCTGAAATCATTATAACCGTTATAACGTTTAAAAAAATGAATAAATATGCGTTTACGTTCAACTTCTATCCTGTACCGGGTACATACCCCCATAACGTTACAAGCTTTAAAAATAGGTTCACAGTTCACAACTTCACAATTCACTCGTCCCAGACTCACAGTCACGCTTACTATTTAAAAAAAAGGTTATATATTAAAAAAATATCAGACTCACAGTGAGTCAGTCAGAGTCACAGTCTGAGTTCTTATTTAATTAAAAAAAAGCAAATACTGTATCTCACAGACTCACTTGTCAGTTGTCACAAGTCTCAGAGACTCAGATGATTGTTTTGTTCTTCTAAAAACAAATACTAAAGTTTTCAAATTGATCTCATCACTCATGACTCATCACTGCATCAGTCATCCTCATCACTCATCACTCATCAGACACCAATGATCTATAAAGTAATACAAGAAACACTCTGATGTGTTCTGTGTAGTGTGATAAATAACTGATACAGTGATGATACCAGCAGTAGCGGAGAGACATTTTTTAATACGGTAAAGTATGTTATCGAGAAATACGAAATGAGTAAAACAATATACACAAACTACAATTATGCAATTTATGTCCGTTTTTGATTTGCTCCGAACTGCAATTGGTTCCAAAAAACATTATGAAACAACAGTAGAAAAAGAACCTCAGAAACAGGAAACTACTCCCGAAAAAAAAATATCAAAACAACCGCGCTGCAATTCTTCAAGGCGTGACGCAATGAAGAATTGCACGGAAGAAAGTCAGAAAATATATGTACCTATCATTTGCTCCAGTAAATGTTTTGATAGTAAATACCTCACAAACACTTTCACGAGGCCTCTTGTGAGATACCTTTTGATTACCACTCCTTTCCAAAGAAGACACAGCTGCGATCTTACGCTTTCTCTTGAAATATACTTAAGCCTACGTTAAACTTATCTTGTAATGTGCACAACAAATTACTCCGAAAGTTTGTAGTCTCTTCTACTAGATTAGCTACCCATACACTACCCGTGACCCTGGTACCACACATAGACACTCTCATGAGGCCTATTGTGAAACACTTCCTGGTTACCACTCATTTTCGAAGGACTCAGCTGTCATCTTAAGCTTTCTTGTAATATGTTATCTGTATTGTGCACAGCAAATTACTCCGAAAATTCTTAGAAAACCCTGACGTATGCTCTATGCAATCTGGGATGCCAAGCTTGCTGTTCTAAATATATAAAATACAATCCCACTTGTACTAAATTCTAGCTCTGTACTAAGTTGTTTGGAACAGATCGGATACAGTGAAGAGAGTGGCCCTCGCCGCAATTATATGCTGACTGGGTCTGAAGAGTTACGACATGGGAAAGGAGCATACCCACCTGCTGACCTTGGAGGCTTGGACCATCTTTTTTTCTGAATATGCCATTGTACATGCTTTTACAGGGTCTGGAGATGAGTATCAATCCCGAGTAAGCCGGCAAGTTGCACGGATTATCAACGCTGGTCGGTGTTCAAGAAACCAACGAGATATTCAACCTTCGCATCTCGAATGCGGTCATGCTGTCGCTACCTATCACCGACATGAACCCACGCCCCAGGTCTACGGCCAGTTTCATAGCCAAAACTAGATCTGATCTCATCGCTGCTCTGGTCACCGGAAACTCTCCGCTGGTCAGTGTTCCTGGTGATGTAAATACACTCAAAAAGATTTTGCTAGCTGCATATCCACCGATGAAGACGCAACTTGGAATGTGATGACTCCTACAGATTTCTACAAGCACAAGCAACAGAAGACATATCCTGCCAGTTTGATCCAAATTTCAGTGGCGCAAGAGTCTACACCTGAATCTAGTTGCGTCGAGCAATTGAGTCTGGATCAAGGTTTAAGTGTGGGTGCGTTTGTAGGTGCTGCCGTAGCAGCACTGGTTGTTGGTTTGGCTGGAGGCATTGGTGCCACAACAACCGTAGACAGAAGGAAGAACAACGCTTGCGCGGCTGAATCAACCACTGATCTGGGTTGAAAATAACTCGTATACAAAACAATATTAACACAAATAATTCAAAATGATATTCGTATACTTCTTTCAACTCCATACTCAATGCATCCGGGACATATGCATAAATAAAAGTACCACACTCAAACATAAAATGATATTCGTATACTTCTTTCAACTCCATACTCAATGCATCAGGGACATGTACATAAATACAAGTACCACACTCAAACATCCATATAGATATAGTATGTTAAAGAAATCATATGGAACCACACCCACACCCACATATATATATATATATATGTATATTTAAATATATATACAAATTATATATCTATATCTATATATATACATAATTATATATATATATAACTATATATACATAATTATATATATATATAATTAAATATACATATATATATATGTATATATATGAAGAGTATATATATTTATAGTAAAATTTATTATACTTATATATATATATATATATATATATTATACATAAATACATACATATACATACACACACATATATATATATATATACTGGATAGTCACTATTATACGCGTTGCTAATACATTGTAATCACCTGTATCTGTGAAGCATCGGTCGAAAGTAAGAATTCGTGTAGACTGCGCCACACCAGTAGATGCTATGATGCAAATCATATCTCATTGCTCGGTTTTGAAGGCGTGTCGATTGAATTATTAAGCGTTTAGACTCCAAAGCAAAAGCTTAAACTCTCGTGATATCACAACACATCTACCGGTCACCAAATGGCAATAACCCGCAGATATTTATAATTAGATACACACACCATCGTACATTAAGTATTTGTACTTCCTGTTGCAATGCCGTCTTTAATTGCGGTCGCTACAATCTCAGCTCGGTGTCAAGGTACCCTTCCCGTGTACACCCCCTGGTAGAGGAATACTAATTGATAGCTTTGGTAGGCAAGGTCTGGTGTCTCAAATATTGATGCTTGTAACGAGGTAGGTACGATGCGGTGGGTATACTAAAAAAGATACAACTCGGCAAGTAAGCTTTGGCAGGACATATATCGAAGACTAAACTCTGGTCTACAAGCTCGCACATTTGGTACATACTAAGCAGTGCTTGGGTCACCCTCCCAACCCTCTCGCCCTCGCACTCTCGCTCGCTCCCATGTTGTAGGTAAATTTGGTAGGTAAACTCGGCAGATACAGATATGTGCGATACCCACAGTGTGATGTAACTCTCCCGCCCGCTCAATCGATCTTCTTCTCCTTGCCCTTCTCAGTGGGGCGTTTGCCGAGTGTGAAGACGTATATGCCCAGGGCTGTCGACACATCATGCGCTACATACACGGAGAAGTGTATGTACATGCACAGCGACACTACAAAGATCTCATACAGCATCAGATCCTCGTAAGCCTGTTGGGCACGAAGGAGGCAATGAATACAAACAATGCGTAAATAAGGGTTGTGTGCTACGACTGATTGAGCTATGGAATCAATATTCTCCGGTACGCCTCCTTTGATCACAGTCACCTGGGAAGGTGGAGACAAGACTATACTATTGAAACAGGAGGTTAAAACAATAGAACAACGTCTTATAGGCAGGCACAGGCGGAATAGCAGCGATCGCAAACAACGGCAAAGTATATTACCGGCCACTATAAACTACGGTCACTATAGTTTGTCGGGTAAACACTACGGTGCCACTCCGCACAAAGCTCTAATACCACGCAGTCTGAATTATAATTCTAGTGAACGCATGCACATGGTTGCAGAGCGATGGTCTGTGACATATATTTATATATAATATAATATAATATATATATGTATATAATTTAATAATAATATATGTGTATATATGTATACATATATATATATTTATAACTTACCTCCATCACCTCTTCAGACGGACTGCCGAACTTGTATGTGTACGCAAAGAAGTTGATAAGCGCATGACAGGCCATGGCAAACACAGCAGTGAAAGTCTTTCCCCACGGGCGATACTCCTCTTCGCAGAGATGCGCCAGCATCAGCGAAGTTAGTAGCTTGCTAATTAGCAGTCCTAGGGTCCAGATAACCCTGTAATTTTATAAGGGCGAGTGGGGTTGAGAGTGTAAGTACAGATATGTTGGCATCGTCGCAGTAGTGCGTACAAGCGTGACAGGTGCCAACTGTGTTGATAGGTTTGCGAGGCTGTATGTGCTAGAAGACCGACCATCCAAGCATGAAGTACATTCGTAGACAAATGAACACACACAAGTACACAGCCATACTGGCATATGCTAGCAGAGTCGTGTGTATCCAATATACCACTCGCTGGATATACACATACGATCGAGGATGACAGCCTGGGGCATTGGTGCAACTAGAAAACTACCCGGGGTACGGGCAGACACTATATGAATGTAACTATATACATATATATATATACATGTCCTGTGATGGCACTTCTCCCGCTCAGTGCCTGGTTCTGACCACTCAACCGTTGCATATATATATATATATATATATATATATATAACATATACGTAAATATATATATGCGACGGTTGAGTGGTCAGAACCACGTACTGAGCGAGAGAAGTGCCATCACAGGACATGGTATGGCTTGACCAGTGTACGTACACATACTACATCAATATAATACATAAAAAAAAATCACACTACTAGTTAACCACACACACATGCATGTGTACACACACACCATCAAAACAATACATGCACAGATTCGCATTGCCACATAACCACACACACACATGCATGTGTGCACAAGCATGCACAGACCACGTACAGTCGGGGATGACGACCCATGATATCAGTTGGACTGTTGAATAGCCAGAACCAAGCACCTAGTGTAAGCAATGCCACAACCAGACACCGCGTGAGCGCCACAATGTATGTCTGTGTCCCTGGTTCCTTGAGATTCATGGGATTGCTGCCCTCCTGCGTGCATGTAGGGGTGCGTGTCAACTGTTAGCAGGCTAGTGTGTGGTGGGTGTCTTGAGGGTGGGTTCAGCGTGACGGTGGTGAGGCATTCAGACGCGACCGAGTCGTCTGGGGTTGATGCTGGGGTGAGTGCTAAGGTGTGCGTGGAATGGGCAGAGATTGGACCTGAGATAGCGTCCTGAGAGGAACGGATTGGGCATGGAAGGCTACAGCAGTGTACGGTATGGTAGACACATCACATATTGAGACGACCCAATTACATTATAAACTATCCCTATTGCCACACACGGTATGCAATGAGCGAGCACTCGCACAGACACCAGAAGAGGCTCTGCATCTAAAACCCACCCGTGTGTGACACAGGGACATTCTAAAACGCTGTACCAGAACGACATCATCACTATAGGGAGAGTGGTTATCTTTGTATCATGAAAATATACATACAAGGTTTGTACCACAAAGACACTCATATTGGACGCAAGATCACCTACGTGAACCAGTAGTGTGTATCCATAGCAACGGCGTAGTCAAGCAGTGAAGTTGCACGGGCCACCCAGCAGTGTCGGGGTGACGGTACGTACGGTGCACGTGTGTAGTTCAATCCATGTGTATGTACAGGTGTTCAGACACTACATATAACACACACAGACACTACATATAACACATACAGACACTACATATAACACACACAGACACTATATATAACAAACACAGACACTACATATAACACACACACACACACACCAAGAAGCAACACACACCTTCTCGGCGTTCGCGGTGACTGCGTTGAAGATATTGACGATGTTCGAGAGGATGGTGAAGAAAGCCCCTACGACGATCAACAGCACAGCCAGCTCGTTGTGCTGCAGACCATAGGACCACGTGGGGATGCGCAGCCAGAAGGAGTTGGTTGGGTCTTGGAAGTATGTGAGTGAATGAGCCACAGCTGCCAACAGCAGCCTGTGAGAACGCAGGTGAGGTGGAGGGGGGGGGATTAGATACGGGTATGACGAGGTATACAGCATGTTGACACGTTGTATGTGTATGTATTGGTGGAATGTGTGTAAATGCCACGTATATGATATACACTCAGATATGTCGTCTGCGTGATAGAGATGTACACCATCTAGCGTCCCTACCCACTAACCAGTGCCGGGCTGCGAACGAATGCATTACTATATCATCCATCCTCATATCCCGCACACTATCTGGGATTTACTAACCCCTCACCGGACACAAGGATTCAACCCGAAACCAGCGGATGAGTATAGTCACTGATACACCTGTGCACTGGAGTAAACATGCACCCACACATTTAAAAAAAAGGCCCGGATCGGCCCTCGGAGCTGCAACGAACCACCTCACACACGCCTAACAAACCCCGTTAGACGTGTATGTCTCTCCATCGCACTTTATATGCATATTCCGAACTATACATCGTCGCATACATACCCTTCGCTGGGCCCATTGATGATCGGCAGGTGCAGTTCACCGGTGTAGTACTCCTCCAGCGTTGCCATACTGTGTGTGAAACCCAGTCAAGCACTTTACTTCCGAGCGCCTACGGTTTATTTGTGTGCTTGTATGGTGGTACAGCTGTACATGTAAATTGGTAACACGCGTGGTATACACATACACGCACGTACTGTGAGCGTCGGCATGGACGCGCTAGTATGTATACTATACAGTAACGCGATAACAACTTCACAACCAGGTACCCCAATAGACCAAGGTTGTAGTAATCTTCATCTACAACTCGTATGATAGTGTGCGTGTGCTATGCTGAATAGCACACGCGTATGATGCAATGGCCCGCACATGCTATCACTATACGTATGGCAGCGTACCATTCGATTCGCTGTGACAGTCTTCAGACTGAGAAGGTGAGGTCAATGGAACACTGACATCAATCAGAATTACACGCACGATGATAGATAGTAGTTAACACTTTGCGATACAACATCGTATTTTGTACAAACAGATATACTTCTATGCATGTGTTACACTCATATATATATATATATATATATGTATTAGTGTATATATATATATATATATATGTGTGTGTGTGTGCACATTGTACTGTGAACAAATAATACACACATATCTATTATAAGACTTACAAGAACCCGAGCGCCTGAGCGGACCAGAGGATAGCTGTCAGATGAGTGGGGCCCAATTGTAATGCCGTGGCGATAGAGAGAGAGATGATGGTGTTGTTGATGGCGTCGCAGCCATGGTCAAACAACAGCCCTAGAGGACTGTGCAAGGAGTGGGTTGCAGATGAACGTATGTGTGAGAGAGAGAAATACGAAAACATATAGAAGCCGTATGTGTGTGTAAGAGAGAGAGAGATACGAAAACATATAGAAGCCGTATGTGTGTGTAAGAGAGAGAGAGATACGAAATCATATAGAAGCCGTATGTGTGTGTAAGTGAGAGAGAGAGCGCGCGACGTATGAGCATAGTTACATATCCACTGATCCGATGTTCTGTCAGGCAATGAGTTTAAAACATCGGCTACGTCCCACAGACTTTACAGCACAATAGACATTACACAAAACACCAGGGTGAACGTTCACATACTCACAATGTGTGTGATATCATAGAATCACGGTAGTATTGGAAAGAGAAGTAGGAATGGGGTTGTTGCAATGGTGCTTCGAGCATTGAGCTCGAGGAGTATTAATAGAGCGAACGATAGGTACCTTGAGCTTCCAGTTTTTCGGGCCTGTTTTCCATCGAGCGCGTCAAGTGTCTGGTACATCCAAATAGCAATGCCTGAGATCATATACACCCACGCAGGTAGTACCTCTAGTAAAGCACAGAATTGAAAATAGAAGGATTAGAAACGATATACACGGTCGCCAAAGTATATATATTTATATATATATATATGTGTGTGTGTGTGTGTGTGTGTGTGTGTGTGACAAACGATTGGTAGTTCTAAACTCGATTTGTTTTCGTGGTGCAATAGTATCACAGAAGGACTCGCTAGCGTAAACCTATGACTATATTTTTGGCTATTCTTCTATGCACTTTAATGTATATGTATGTAAGCTGATAGAATGCATGTGATTCCCTACGTATCAGTGATGAACATCCGTGTAGTCACCCACAAATCCCGTGCGATGGAAATTGTACATTGCGAGCTATCGAGAAGTGCAGTTGTGGATTATACGAATATAAGACGAACATAAGAACATTAAAATAATTGATAGAATTGGAAGGTGCCCAATACCGCTTGTACTTGATGAGACAGCCACGGATACAGATTGCACATGTATAGATTGTAGAAATATGAAAATATCAATTCCAGGGCAGCTGGTCAGACAGTCAAGCATTTGAACGCGTCTGTATCAACACATTCAATATATGATATTTTTACACGCATACACACACGTACGCATACACACACACATATATATATATATATATATATATATATATATATATATTGGTGATATTTAGGGCAATTCACTAGGCCAATAAACTAATCCGCAGAATCAAGAGTTCTCTATGTATGATTATACCGGCACAAGCAAATGCACATATACACTTGTATATACTCGATTGATTCATACAACAACATTGACCTTCAGAACACATTGATTCATACAACGAGCACGACATCTGACATGCTGCAACCACAGTTCCACTTACGATCCATATTTGGCGAATAATGCTCCTGGATAAAGTAGGTCGTGAAAGTACACGCCAACCCGAGTAGCGTAATCACATTGGGGGCTATGGTGTTCGGCACATACTGTATCATCACTTCATACATAGGCGAGTTAATGTACTTGTATAGTAGGGAATCGTCTGATCCCCTGTATGTGTAGTGATTCAGGGTTTCCTGGCCGTGTTTGGTTATGTATCGACCGAAGTATCCCATATTGGCGTAGTTGTAATGTGCGTATTTGTAGCTAGTTTACTGACGATATAAAACGCCACCGAAGACTTCTTATACTAAATCGATCAGACAACGTTTGCCAGTGGGATTGTATCTGTTTATGTTGTAGAGAAAAATGTAAATATGCAACAACAAGAGACAGTACTGACTGCAGACACTACTACCGCTACTGACCTACTATTTAAAATCCTAAATTAGAAATCCAGAATCCTAATAAGGCCTGTTTTGCCAACTTTATAAAATTCTGAGGAAATTATTGTTTTTGGAATTGTGGACTGTATTTCGGATAATTTCTTTTCCAGTATTCGATTAAAATATTTCTAGCCAGTCCAACAAATTCTGGCTGTAGGGCAGCCCAGAAATTGCTCAATTTCCTCAAAAAGTCTATTTTCCAGTTGACAAACGCACGAGTCCGTAGAAATAGTGAGTGGTTGTCAATTCTATTTTTGTTTATCGTATAACCTCATCCATTGGTTGGAATTAACAGCTAGAATCTGTTCATCATGTATATTTACGTACATACATAAAGATGTGATATACTGTGATTTCAAAAGTGCGCGCTCAAAAAGCCAGAGTACATTTTAAAATAGATCAGTATTTCTCTTGTCAAAGTGAAAACGCTGTCTGGCCCTCGTTTTCACTTATTAAAGGAAAATTCTGGGTTTCGAATTTTGAGGAGAATTTCTTGGAGGTGCAGTCTTATAATTTAAAGTTGCCAAACGGGACAATCTGAACGAATTTCATGTTTCAAATTGTCCTGAAAATTTTCCAGAATTTCAAATACGCTTCATAATTTCAGCACGAGGATATGAAATACACAATTTAGTTCCCGGAGTAAGGTATTTTACTCCATCCAAGAAATTATTTTCACAATTTCAAAATGTTGGCAAAACCGGCCTAAATATGTCTAAAATACTACTAATAGCTATTTACGTACTCTCTCTCCCCTCACACACTCTCTCTCGCTCTCTCTCTCTGAGCGCGAGAGTACATAGCGAGACATCTGAGAGTCAGAGCACTGCCGCTGTGAATAATGCCCCAGAGATGAGCGCAAGTCAAAGTGAAAGTGCGTATTCAAAATTCTCAAGAAGTCTCGACTCTCAACTGCCGACAATTCACAATTCATGGATTGCGGGGCGCGGGCTGCGGCGGCAAACGACAATTCAACCAATTAAAAGTGATGACCAACTGATGCGATATTTGATTGGACACGAGTTTTCGGCAAAATCCCCTCCTCCTCTGAGGACATCAGGATTCTGGACAATCTCTATAAATGTTACATATGAAATATTTACTATTCTGACGGGTGCCAGACTGGTGGGGGGTGGCAACAAAAGCCGTCAAGGCATCGATAGATACGAGACTGGACTCACTGGAGACAGAGGAGACTGAAGACTGAGAGTCGAGAACTCGAGACTACATACATGCTTAGTCAGATGAGACTACGAGTACGAGAGTCGCCGACAACTCGGACATCAGAGTCCCAAACTCCAAAAGGCAAAATCCAAACATAATAACTCTTTGCAAACGAATCGGTATTCGGTGAAGTGTTGCGAGTAGCGACACTCCGGGCGGATCAGCCCTCTAGGCCGAAGACTGCACGGATGAGCCTGTGCTCTTGCATGGCCTATAGAGTGAGTGTGTGTGTGTGTATGTGCGTGTGTGCCTGTGCGTCTTCTTCCCATTCTCAAAGTCTGATTGGTCTGTCGCTGCACATAGTGCACAGCCGTATATGCGAACACATTCGAATTTCTGTTACAGTTCCTCACAATAGAACAATTTAATATCAACCTGCGACTAAATATACTATCTAGGTGCGGGTGTTGTGGTGCAATTCCCTACAGGATAGAGCACTATCCGCCCTCTTAGCTCGGCACTACCCAGGCACAAGGTTCACTGCAAATGCGCTGCGGGTATCTGCAGTCACTCCAATTCGAGGATGTTGAAGGCTAAGGATGTCCGCAACAGAGGCACACACAGTGACCACGTGACTGCAGGCGTGTTCATCGCTTGGATTTATTCTTCAATTCTGCTCGTCGTTTCTGGGCGTAGTGGAGTGGTCCAAACGACAGCCAGACATGAGTGTACTCTAAATATCAATGTGGTAGTATGATAATATAGTACCCTAAGCCAGCATGAATCAACGGCTTGTAATGGGAAAGCAGGACTATGCGACAAAGCAAACACAGGAATAGGATATTACAAAGAATGTATCAAGTGGAGATGCCGGTATAACTTGTGTTCATGCACACGCAGACCACGCGCAGCTGCAAGTTAATAGCAGTGAACATCGCGCATAAAGTCTATATGGCGCCAACGATGAGGAAGCAGTGTTCACAAACTAGTGCATATAGTATGTATCTAACAATAAGTTGTAGTACATATAGTGGACATGTGAAGTACCTCGATCTCTTGCGCAGAAAACCCCTATCAGTGCAGTACACATAGTCCGTACAGTGTTCCCTATGCAAATACATATATGTATATATATATATATATATATACAGAGACACCAACCAAGGCACACAAATAACTGTAACCCCAGTGAATTAATCTAGCACCTAACTATGCCTGCAGCGTACATCTGATACATTAATTAATGTGCATACGGTGAACATTTAATGTACCTCGATCTCTTGGGCATCCACCTCCATCCAGTACAGCGGCGGTTCTGCTGTCGTCTTACGGAATATCTGGTCAAGTGCCACGACCTTTCTTGGTTTCTTCTTCTCGTCCACCTCTTTTTTCGTCTCTTTCTCCTTCACCTTCTCCTTTTCGGCTGAGTATGTACATGAAATTCAGGTTTTATGATATTTAGAATAAAAAACAAATATTGTGTTATACTCCGATATATGGTATTGTAATTATTGTGGCGTTCAGAATCAGAATAATTTCGTTGTGGGTTGCTGTACTCAAAGCCTTATACTCTCAGCCAAAACAGTCAGAGATGTCAATGGCTCCAATTACACACACACACACATGTTATATATATATATATATATATATAATCACGTGTAACATATCAATACAGCTAAACACTCACCAAACACACCTTCGGATTTTCTCCGCTGAGCCGCTTCCCTTGCCTTAAGGCGTTCCTGCTCCACCGCAGCGCTCGCCCGTCTGTCATTGCCATTTGGGCCGTGTGATGCAACAGCCACACGACCCTTCCCACTCGCACTTTGACACAGTGCGTGTGCTTCGGAGAGGGATATGAATGTAACGCTGAGTTGCTTCTGGTTGCCCTGAGGCCATTTGATGCCGTCTATGGCATTCAGCGCCGAGGCGGCGGCTTCGTACGTTTGGAACTGTAGTGGAATGAGGCGAATGGGGGGGGGTTCGATATATCGTTTAGATAGGCAACGTATATGCGTATATGCATGCTCAGTCCATGTGCATATGCATGCTCGGTACAGGTGGTAGTAGGTGTAGCGGGATGATACCAAGGAAGGATGGAAACAAAGTGTGTAGGGAGTACGAACACTCATGTACTCTTATGTAGTAAAGACGGTATATACTGTAGTTGGTTAGTGCACGGACAGGACATCGTGCTTGCAAACGTATGGCAGAGAGAGACCAATGCGCATCCGCAGGCGCAGGAGGGAAAGCTCGACATGGAAAACAAGCTGAAACAACCAAGACTCGCACTGGCCCAAACAAGCACCGCCACCCAGAAGTGCCGGCACCCTGCGCCCTATGGTAGCAGTATACATACTTTCACAACAAGGAATCTGTGCACAGAAGGCGTACGACAGTACAGTCTATTAAATACACAATATAACGTTACAGTACAAACATTCTCATATGGACTTCCACTCCGCCAATACTACCATACTACCAGCTCACAGCTCAAGTGTGTACTTGTACATGTAGATGTCACTATAAGTAGTATTGCCTATAAATATATATAAATACATATATACATATATACATATATATATATATATATATATGTGTGTGTGTGTGTGTGTGTGTAGAGAGATAGACAGGGGAGAGAGAGTCTGCGACACAAACTAATTGGCTCATGCGGCCTCTCATATGCACCCAGCGCGCCATGCGACTATCACTTATCAGTCACACTACCATATGCCCGTCCAATGCTCGCATTGTAGCTTAACCCTAAAACCCTAACCTAAACCCAAAGAGATCCGGTATTAAACTCCGGCTATACACTCCCAGCCGACTGAGAGTATCACACGCCAGTACAACGCTCCATGTCTAGCCAGACTATTCGAGACATGAATCGCACTACTGTCCCCAAGTGCCCTATCACTTACCGTGCAGCAGCACTTGGTTCGTTGCTTATCCATCCAACATCCCACCGACCCACTCTCAGCATCATCTTCAACCAGATCACCATGCTGTGTTAATAGGTCCACCATCTCCGAGTTGGTCAACGGCCGGCACAGATTCTCGATAAGCAGGGCTTGTCTGTGGAACCGAATGTACTTACAGAGTGAGTAGGTAGGAAGAACCGAATAAACACACAGAGTGAGTAGGTAGGAAGAACCGAATGAACACACAGAGTGAGTAGGTAGGAAGAACCTAATGTACATACAGAGTGAGGAGGTAGGAAGAACCGAATGAACGCACAGAGTGAGTAGGTAGGAAGAACCGAATGAACACACAAAGTGAGTAGGTAGGAAGAACCTAATGTACATACAGAGTGAGTAGGTAGGAAGAACCGAATGTACACACAGAGTGAGTAGGTAAATAGAACCGAATGAACACACACAGTGAGTAGGTAGGAAGTGCGGTGGACTCGGGCACAACAACACAATACGCTGGTTCCTAGCCATGAGGATATATACTACTGAATGCAGCTCAGCATCTCCATCAATTGCAGATGATCCCGCTCAATAAGCACATGCCATAGCCTCACATCGAACAGTATACATACACATCAACAACGAGTGTAGTCACTGCGTGGCTGTTCACGCCGACAACAGCCGACATACGTGCTTGTGACAGAAGCGACGTGTAACAGACACGTGTTGCCGCATTGGCTATGCCCAGGTGTGAAGGCAGTCAAATGGCCCGAAGGACGAAGACAGACCTATATACCTATATACACATCATACAACACCGTGCTAGCCCACCTCACTCCACAGGCAGTACTGGGAAAGGGACATACTTCCCAGTACAAAAGACTAAACAGGATCACGTATTAGCCAGGTATCTATAATACCGATATAGGAAGGCGTTAATACGCAATATGGTCAATGTACACTTACGCGTCAGACGCCTCGTCCTCTCCCACGACTGGCCCATCCAGATCATCACCTGTGCATGGACAAATTCAGTGAATTCGCGCAAATTTAGCTAGAAAGCACGGACAGAAAAGTCCAAGAAACGAAGTTTGGGACAAAAAATGCGTCCGTAAGACGATATGTATAAGAAAACGTGAAAGCATGCACCAATACGCGTCGATTAGTGCGTAGCTTTGACGGAAATGTAAGTTCATATACACACATATATA